GTGTGTGTGTGTGTGTGTGTGTGTGTGTGCACGCACAAGCAGGATAGGGATCTCTTCCCACTTGGCAACATGTGCATGTATGTATGTGTGTATGTGTGTGTGTGTGTCACTTCCAGGTGAGTCCTGGCCCATGTCTCTTTCAGGAGTTAGGAGCAAGTATCCATCACTCTCTTTTTCCTTTAAAAAAAAAGAAGAAAAGAAAAGGAATCTTTCGGTTTCACATCATTTTGTCCCAGGAACAAGTGTCCAATGGCTGGAATTCTTCAGTGCGCTCTGCAAAAAAACATCTACACACTGAAGGCTTCTCTGCCCAGGTGCCTGCGCTGGGTGTATTGTGCAGCAGTAGGGCCTAAATCAAAGCAGACCCAAAGCCTGATCTTGCAAAACATTACTTGGGTTTTGCCATGATGGTTTTGGAGAAACCTGAAAAACTTTTTTACATAGAGGTCTTTTGCACAGCCCAGACACACATCTGTCCAAGGAAAACATGCAACCTAATCCAGACCTTAGTGGTGGCTAAGAATCCGCCAGAGACAAAGTATCAGTCAATAAATGGTTTGGGTCCTGAGAATATGTGCGCACACTTGCCAGACAAGTCAGTCCATTTGGTTGATACACCAGTGTGGACTTTGATTTATCCCAACTGGCAGCTGGTTACACTGAAGAGTGGCTGCACTTCCTTAGCTAGCACTGCTTAAAATAGGCATTGTTTACAGTCCGTAGCAGGATCATCTCCTGGGCAATAAAACTTCCAGTCGGAGGCTGGAGTCTGTGTGCCAGAATCTGAGTTCGTGCCTGTCTTGAGTGAGGGGAGAAAGCTTGCTGCACTGAGTATAAAGCAGGGAAGGGTGGCAATTTGGAGGCACCCTGTCCCTCCTTTCTCCTTGACTTCAGACTAACCCAGCTAACTACTTCTTTCTCTATCGAGTGTCCAATAAGGCTTAAGGGGACAAGCAGCCACCGCTCCACAGTGGATTACTGCAGTGGATTCTGAAAGGTTAAGGACTAGCTGAGCCAAAAATTGCAACTTAAGAATCAGAGGATCCATCCCATAAACTTCTGTGACAGCCCTCTGGTCATTTAGGTGATAGGAGACCAAGGTACTTCAATAGCTAAAGGCTCAGGTGTGTTTTGGGAGTCAAGTCTTGGCCTTAATGGCCAATCCCATTGCCACATAGATCTAATTTGGTCTGAAAGTTGCAAATGTACCCTGCATTCTGCTTGGCTCCAGATTAACACAGCTCCAAGCCTCTCTACTGGTGAATGGCACTGCTCTCTCAATCCCCAGTGACAGAGGGAGTCTTGAAAAGGATGCTTACTTAACTGGCAGGACAGGACCTAAATTTCTAAGAGTTATAAAAGCTTGTCAGTCCCATTCCTTGAGAGCAACTGCTTCCCCTGCAGGAGGGCTAACAGTTGTGCTCCTCTGAACAGGTGGTAGATTTCCTTTGGAAGAAGAGGAAACTAGAGCACTGCTGCAGCCACCTTGTGCCCTGCTTTTTCCTGCGAACGTCTGAAGTCAAAGAGCGTGAGATCTTCTGCCATGGATTGTGCAGGTCACCTGGAGACTTGGCTGTCAGGCTTGGTGAGCCCATGGCAGGAGTGGGGGGTGTCCAAGGGGAGATCTGAAGTAACTCACAAAGGCGGGGTGGGAACTTTTACAAAGGTGGATCAGTCACAAGCACAGCCCAGCTCTCTGATAGGGAAAAGGACTTAGTGCAAAAGCAGAGTGCCAACCCCCAGCGCAGGCACGAAGGTGCAGGCGAGGGGACAAAGTGGCTTTTCAGCCCCTGCTAACTCCTGCTCTTCTGGCTTCCAACAGCATGACCCGGTCATTTCCAAGTTACGCTCCAGTGATGGAGCTGAGGATGAACTGAGCTTGTAGGGAGGGCTGTGCCTGCTCTCTCTGCCACTTGTTACTCCCTCAGTTAACCTCCCCCCCCCCGCCCCCCGAGCCACCTTAAGCGAGAGAGGCGGAGGCCGCAGCCTGGCAGGTTCCTTTCCGCTTGTTAGGACATCCCAGGGGGTTGTCTTGCTCCCAGAATGGAGTGTTTATTTTTTAATTGATGTGCTGTTTCATTTAGCGCTTGTGTGGAGCTCACGCTGGGGCTGTAATTACTGTAATCTCAGGAACAAGCATTTTGGTTAGCCAGGAGGGTGGCAGTACGGTGCGATTTATTTTTGGTAGTGTTAAATTTTGTGATTTGTCAGGTTTCAAGAAAGAAGGGAAAAATGGAAGGGGGGGGGGAATTGTGTGCGTGTGCAGGGGGAGGACAGAATGGTAATCGCCCCCAGACGCTGGTGTTCAAGCTAGTACGTGAACCTTCATAGGAAAGGAAACGGGTGACAAAGCAAAGGCAAAAAAAGTTTGTGGGTTACCTCTGGTAACAGGAGCCTCCTTTTTTATTATTATTTAAATAAATGCATAGATTATTTAGATAAAAGGAAATGGGCAATAAGGAGGCAAGGAGCAGGTTTCTTACTCCCTTGTTTTGGTAATTTACCAAACACTCCTTCTCTCAGCCCCTCCTCCACCAAAAGAAAGCTAGTAATTATGTGATGGATCAGCACTGAAATTAGTTTTGCAACCAGAAATGATCACATCTGGGATTTTTTTTCAGTCGGGGGTGGGGGGGGCGGTGGTCAAATCCAGCTTTTTTCTAAAGAGCCAGAATATTGTTAGGGGAAGCAGCAGGTGGACCCCCAGCCTTTTAGGGAAAGGAACTGAGATTTGTCATCTTGGTGCTACCTTGAACTCCGTAATGACTAGGTAAACTTCTTTCAGGTAGCTTACTATACCTGGGTCTGAAGACCCTATTAGGAGGTGGCTGATAACAATACTTTTGCCTACTAGGAAAAGAACCGCATTCAAAACTTCCTACAGAGTGTAAAAATGAGGAAATCCAGTTGTGGGCTCTGGGATACTTCTGTAAATCACCCCTCTGACAGGAATCCTACTGGCTATTACAAAACTGCTATTTTACACCCACCATGGACACTGCATCGCAGAGACAGCAGATGTGAAGTGACTGTTTCCAAAAGCAACACAGATGCTGTAAAGTTTCCATTGCTATATTTCAGCAGGGAAACTCAGGAGATATACTGAATGCTACAATTTAGAATTACACTGTGATTCTATTAAAATAAAGCAGTGCTGGGTTTCTCAACTATAGGTGCGGTTTAAATTTTACTGTAATATATTCGATTTCCTGCTTTCTATACTGTACTTAGTGAAAAGACATGTAGCTGTGGGCACGGCATGGTTCTGAAACCATTCAGTAATAACTTTTGTATTTATGAAGTTTTCTAAGCAAAAAAGTCTAAATATTTGAATATGATTTGAATGAATTTGCAGCATCCTATAAATGGTTAACACATTAGTTTATAAATGAGATGTATCTAAATCACCCAATCTGTTTGATAATCTCAGCCAATATCTTGAACCTTTAAAAAAATAAGAAATGGGGGCCCAATAGATAGGGTATTCATGAGTTATTCAGATTTTTAAAAGGCTTGGATTGATGCGAGGCAATGGGACTGGGATTTTATCTGTCCTGTAAGCATTCTCTTGATATCAGTGAAAGCATGGAGGTGTCCAAGGAATTAAGGAGCATATATTAAGTTTTTTTTTCTTTGTGTTGTCCCAGAAAACACAGCAGTTACTTTTTAAAAAAAGTTAAGCTTCGCTATAGTAGCATAAATAACCTGGAGTAGTTTCTATAGGGATTTCAGAACAGATGTCCAGTTACCACATCATGCACAAATATAAAGCTGGCAGATGAAAGCAAGAGTCTGCTACATGTGGTATAATCTTTTTGCAAAAGTATCAGTTAGTCAATAGATAGAAGTCTTCCTCAAGTCCAACTGGCACAGGTCTTTTGAAACTTTAGGAAAGTGAATTCTGGATAAGCTTTGAGCCCCTGCACTTGACTGTTTCTCAGAGGGTTGCCTTTACATTAAGATGTCCAACATCTCTTTAAAACAATGGATTTTGCCCCCTATGTTACAGGGAAAGCACTCAGTTCTTGATACACAGTTATTTAATTTTCTCTGAGCTTTAAACCCAGAATAGTAAGCATGGTTGAGGGTAGAGGTTTGAGCTTTGGTTTTGTTTTAGCTCGGACACATAACCATCATCACAACTGCATGCTGTTTGCCCTCCAATTCTGCCCCGCAATGCACTCCCTTATTCTGGACTTGATATAACATGCTCAGCATCTCAACCTTGCTTTTACCTTCTTTGCTTCTGCTGTGTTCCACAACAAAGATGCCATCCAAAAAATCTTCTTCCTTAGCTGGACAACAACTGGTAAAGCTGGGTCAACAATTTGGGGAAATACCTCAGTAATCAACAGCTCTATGGTGATATATTTGGGAGGCTGGCATGAAAAGGGGTTAAATAGGCTCTCATTTCAGGGTGAAAATTGGATCTGCAAGGACTATAAGATGTGGCCACAGATCACAGTGCCGTACACCCAGCTAATTGCCAAGAGCTCACCTGTTTGATGATGCTTTGCCTACATGCAATGGTGCACCCTTTCACTTTGGAGGTACTTTTGGTGAAGACAGAAGAGCAGATACAGCATGGAATGGACAAGGGACAGACCCTAACTGCTGCTTCCCACCATACAGCTTACAGACTATGCCTTGGATGCCATCCTAGAACTAACAGCAACCCTGGGAAACTCCATGGACTTCAACGGGTGGAGAAAACTCTCTGCAACTTGGTGAGTAGAGTGTAGCTAAGCTTGTTGTTGGAGACACGATCACTTAAGGCAGCTGGCGTTACCTTTTTCTGCCTAACCCCGTTACTGCTGTCATGTACTGTCAGGCAACCTTTACCTGCAGAGTTTCAGTTCAGGAAAAAAAAATTAAAAAAATCCATTTTTCCTGTTCCTCAGTTGTGTGTGATGAGGGAAGTGTGAAATGGAAAGCAGGGATAAGTAATTAGACTACAGCAGTGTCCTGCCTTGCAGACACGAGAACAAAGTCACCAGAAGCACTTGTCTATACATATGTATTTGCCAGGTGCACTTTCTTCCACTGACATCAGCTTTAAAGCATTCTCTGAGATAGCCTTATATATTTGTTGCTTATGAACCAGGAGAACTTGTCTACAGAAAAATACATACACCGTTTCTTTGCTTTTCAGGGACACAATCCTATTGTAGAATCATAGCCCTGTGCCTCTTCACATTCTGTCCAGGAGAGGTGCCAGAGCCCTTAAGCAAAGTGTGTGTGTGTGGGGGGGTGCTTAGATAAACTACTACAGGGCTGGCTTCTGGAGGATGAATGGAGAAGGATACATTATCAGTAGATTGCATTGTCAGTGACTTTCACAAGGGAGGATGATACCAGTAGAAGGAGCAGCAAAATCAGTAGTGAGATGATGGAGCAGCTGCTTAACATGATGTCAACTTCTGTCAAAGGGCTTTCCTCCATACTACTGCATCATGAAGTTAGTGGACCCTCAGGGGAAATAAGTGTGGTATGAACCACTCAGTGCTATACACAGTGCACACTTCCTTCCCCTGAAGTAGAGCCAGAGGATGGAAGATCACAAACAAAATAAGCTGAAACTTGCAGAGTAGTTTTGTCAGTGTACACAATATACTTTTTTTGTTCCAAGTTTTTTTTTGAAGGTTTGTCTCTTCCTGTATTTTTTCCTATTGATTTGTTTAGATTGCACTTGAGCCGCTGCTTGTGTTTTTTGCTGCTTGATTGACATCTTGGCATGTAATGTGTCAACATCATTGCATGTGAAACGATGATTTCAGAGAGAAGGTTTTTAATAAAAACTCAGATATGCATACATGGAGTTGACTTACACTGGTTAAAAAAAAAAAAAAAAAAAAAAAAAAAAAAAAAAA